CACTATATATATAGTATATATAGTGAACCACCATGAGATGAAAAATAAAAAGATCGATAAGTAAGAAATACAGAGAATCGAACGCGTGGTTTACACGCGCGACGATTGTAGCCCAAAAAATAGAGCCGCGCTCCTCCGCTTTCTCAGCTTTGTTCGCCTCTTCAGTGGCCGGTTACGACCGCCGCTGTGAGAGGGCCTCCCCCCTTTTCCTTTCTACAACGCCGTCTCTTCGGATCATACACATTTGCATCCTCCTGATATGCTCTGCAGAGGGACCGGAAGGGAGCTCCGTGACTGCCGCGTTTAGGGTGGTGGGGTTTTCTCCGTAATCGACCTGCTAGTCGGTGTTGTCTCGTCGAGCTAGGGAGTTTAGCTACAACCCCTCACCCACCTCACGGATCCGACCGCTCCAGATCTACTTGTAGATCTTCCTCCGGCCAAGTGTTACTGATGTTGGTCGATGAAGCTTGCGGCTTTGGAGCGACGCCCTTTAGCCGTGACTCACCTTCCATCATCTCATAGGTCTCGCCTCCTTCCAATATCCGAATTGGAATCCGTCGCACATCGGGTTCATTGTGGCTAGGCTTCTTCTCTCTTCACCTCTACCGATTGAGGACGGTTCTGGCTGGAGAAGAGTCGCTCTCTGTCTTCACACTGCTTCCCCTTGTTATCCTCCTCGGGTAAAGTCTTTGAGTTTTCCTTTGCTTTGATTGAGATAGATTTCTTGAAGCCTCTCTTTGTCGTCGCTTGGGATCCTCGGTCTCTCTGGCTTTGCCTCTTAGGATTTGTTGTACAGCTTAGTTATCGTTGGTGGAGTTTGGCTTCTCGGTGGATGATGAGTCTCGGTGTTTTGGGTACATTGTGGTTAGGTTTTGCTGTGGGCAGTGGCTTCTCTCATCGATTGTGTGTCCATGGTTGCAACTCGGGTGCTTGGAGTTGTCTCCGTCGAGCTATGTTCCACCTCTGGTACTTGCGGTGTTGTAACTTTAGGCTTGGTTTGTTACCGGTGGTAGCTTTGGCCGTGCCTCTAGTGTTACTTCGCCGTATCTCTGGATTTGCGGGTTGGTTTAGGACCAGTTGTCGTGTGTGTCGAATTTTTGAAGTTGTTGTGTTAGTTGGTATTGGGTGAATGTGGTGGGTCGTTTTGGCTTGACCTTAAGCCATAGAGGAGCTAGTAAGTCTTTGGGTGTTTGGAGCAGTTCTTCATCGTTTCACTTTGTTTTGTACTAGCCAACGTTTTTGGTAGGGGAAATTTGCACCGTCCATCTTCGAGAGTTTGAGGTCTCTTCTCGGGTTAAGCTCATGGTTTTGTGCTTCTAATCGCTCTCACGCGATGCGAGAGGAGTCGGTGATCGAGGTCGTTGAAGTCATTTGCTGTTGACAACCATTGTTTGGTCCTCTCTTGAACGGCTTCTATCGCTTTCGAATTTTCTCAAGCGGTCTTTGTATTTTCACTCGACTTTCTAAGCCCAACTGATCTTGGCCGAACACTCTACATCGTCATCAATCGGTTTCGCTCCATAAGCATAGCGTTTATGTCGAGCAACGGATTCAAAAATGTGTATGCATATGTTTCCATGTTTTTTAAAACTTTTTTGTCGTAGAATACATTGTATAGGGCTACAATCATGATTGTAATCCTGAACCGATTCATTATATGAAATAGTTATCATTTAGC